TCCCTTCTTTCTCTCATTTTTCTACTCACAGCTGCAGAGTTGATCAAGACAGGGGAGAAGTAGGAAAGACTGTGGCACAGTAGTGTTGGTGGCCCTGTAAAACTCCCGACTCTACCGTCACCGAGAAGAAGGCGTTGAGTGGGCTGCACACTTGTTGAACTTAATTTACATCAAGTTTAAATCCAAAAACAACAATACTATATATTGCAGTTTACCAATTTGTCGATTGCCTGACTGTATTAGTTTTTATTTCAGGCTTCCTCTTTTATTTTGACTTCGTGAACCTGCCAGTAACATCCTGGCCTTAGGTGACAACGCTCACTCACTGTACCTTATCTATGCAGTGTTGTCACTCCAGGCTGCTTAGTCCGAATTTGGACTAGTATCCTTTTCTCCTCATCTCCATAACATGGGGGGATGTAAAGCTTGATGGTAAAAATAAACCATAAAAATGCTGCGCTACATTCAAACTAATTAAAGTGAATGTGGAATTCAATATCTCAAATAAATAGCAATAATGATAAATATAATAAGAAATGTGCTTAGTGATAACACAAAAATGATGGCAAAACACAAACTTAAATCAATACGCATGTGCAAAAAAATGCACATACATATATTACATCACACGTGCAAAAATGTGAAGTGAAGTTACATCTAAATAAATATACACACAAAAACAAAGTCCAATAATGGAATATTAAAGGTGAAAAAAAAGTCCAATAATGGAATATTAAAGGTGAAAAAAAAAAATTTTTTTTTTTGTTTTGGTAAACTGTGTTTCCAATAGGCTGTAAAGTGACCACAGGTGAAACAAAAACGTGCAGGTATCTGGGTGTAGATAGCTTGTGAATCCAACCACCTTCTGGATTAGCCTCTCACCTCATCTCTTCGACCCTTGCGGGTCAAAGAGCAGTATGGATCCCTCTCACAGATCCTCCAGGCACCAAAGCACTCCAAAACCACTTCTCAGGATATAATATTCCCACTCAGCTCTTCTCCAGGTATAGATGAAATATCACTTTCCCAGAACAAAACAAAGGGATCCTCCCATAGTGTAGTATGTTTATTATACCATAGGAACATCAAATCTTTAATGAAAATACACTTACGTAGCAGCCAGTCCACATTAAACCCTCATGCTCTCAAATGAGGATATGTGAATGTAAGTTGGGTGTACAGCTGAGTCCACAGGTGTACCAAGATGGCCGCCACGCCGGAAATACGTCACCGCGCTACGCCGACGCGTTACGTCACAATATCACGTGACTTCATCAGGGCCCTGATGAAGTCACGTGATATTGTGACGTAACGCGTCGGCGTAGCGCGGTGACGTATTTCCGGCGTGGCGGCCATCTTGGTACACCTGTGGACTCAGCTGTACACCCAACTTACATTCACATATCCTCATTTGAGAGCATGAGGGTTTAATGTGGACTGGCTGCTACGTAAGTGTATTTTCATTAAAGATTTGATGTTCCTATGGTATAATAAACATACTACACTATGGGAGGATCCCTTTGTTTTGTTCTGGGAAAGTGATATTTCATCTATACCTGGAGAAGAGCTGAGTGGGAATATTATATCCTGAGAAGTGGTTTTGGAGTGCTTTGGTGCCTGGAGGATCTGTGAGAGGGATCCATACTGCTCTTTGACCCGCAAGGGTCGAAGAGATGAGGTGAGAGGCTAATCCAGAAGGTGGTTGGATTCACAAGCTATCTACACCCAGATACCTGCACGTTTTTGTTTCACCTGTGGTCACTTTACAGCCTATTGGAAACACAGTTTACCAAAACAAAAAAATTTTTTTTTTTTTTTTTCACCTTTAATATTCCATTATTGGACTTTTTTTCACCTTTAATATTCCATTATTGGACTTTGTTTTTGTGTGTATTATTTAGATGTAACTTCACTTCACATTTTTGCACGTGTGATGTAATATATGTATGTGCATTTTTTTGCACATGCGTATTGATTTAAGTTTGTGTTTTGCCATCATTTTTGTGTTATCACTAAGCACATTTCTTATTATATTTATCATTATTGCTATTTATTTGAGATATTGAATTCCACATTCACTTTAATTAGTTTGAATGTAGCGCAGCATTTTTATGGTTTATATTCACTTGATCATTGGTATATGATTTAATGTTAGCAGCTGTTTGGGGTTCATTTATTATTTTAATTTGTTTTAACACACATTTTGGAGCGCAGGAGGGTCACACCATTAAAGCTTGATGGTGCTGCTATGAAGCTGGATTCGAAGAGAAAAGTCACCCCACTGGCAGGGGAATAAAGGAATCAGCGTCCTAAGTCTGTTCCAGTGTCTTGAGCAAAGTAAGGAGGCGGACACCCCTTTGAACCAGCTCCAGGAGTCAGATATGTTAGGTGCAGGGGCGTACTGACCATTCGAGCACTGCCCGAGGGCCCAGGGTCAGTAGGGGGCCCCATGAGATGCTCCTGGTACCTTTCATAGGCTTTTTTGGGTGTGGGCGAGGACACAGGGGCCGCATGATCCCCTATTGCCCCATGAGTTGTCAGTCCGCCCCTGGTTAGGTGTATGCAGTGGCCTCAGCACCACACTAGCCATGCCCTCTGATACATTTCACCCCGCCCATCGGAAACTTGGTCATAGAGGCGACTCCCTTACCTCATTCAAGTCAATGGGGGAGGGGTTCTACTATTCACAGAGAAACTGACTAGGGCCAGAAATGTTTGAAATTTTTGTTCAGTGCACAGGAAGGAACAAAGGCACTGGAAGGTGGTTGGAGCAAGGGGAGCTAGGATGACCTAGAGAGTGACTTCAGTGCTGTCAATTTGAAGATGAGTTGCTTTATAGTACCTGCAGCTACAGAAGAGAGTGATCGTTCACTTGCTGTCTTTTAGGAATATACAGTAAATACTTGGATATTGAAAGCTCAGTTATAAGTTCGCTTTAAGGTTTAAAGCAGTATGTTATATTGCAGCTTTTCAATTCTTAGATGTGTTAGCTACATTAGTTTCCTTTTATAGGCTTTCTTTCTTCTATTTTCATCTGGCGATACAACCAGTAAGTCTGTTGTTTTTCAACAGAACAAACTCTCTTGCAGTTACAGGGATGAAGCAAACCATTTGCCATTGACAGGGGTGCTTAAAATGATCAGTTTTATTCATTTCATGTAAAACCTTTATGCCAAAAGGAAAAAAATGTTGCTGTAACTGCTCATAAAGTATTAGCTGGAGTTCAGTTTCAATGTGTTTGTGTATTTACGTCTGCTAGTACATTTAACACTCTCCACTCCCCTAGACTGACAATGCTGCAGTCCAAATCTGCCCTATGTGCTCTTTCATCCAGAGTGAGGGCACTCTAATACAGGAGGTGTGTTGCGGGCCATATCACCAGGTGAAAACAGAGGGAAAAAAACCTTAAAAAAGAAAACAAATGCAGCCACCACTTCTAATGATTGGTAAGCTGTAATACAGTATATTCCATTTTTGGTGTTTGGTTTAATGCAGCTTTGAGGTTGCATTCACACCTGAGTGTTTCATTTTTTGCTTTCATTTTTTGGCACGTTTGTTGTACAACAGAATAGGGTAGCCTATTGACTTGAATGTGTTTCCCTACGTGTGACAAATGTGTCAAAGTAGCTCATGTACCTTTTTTTGGCACTGTACAAGCGCGTTTTGCATTGCATGTTTTTTTTTTCACATGTTTGTTATCAACAAACGAGCAGCAAAATGTTGGACTGCTACCCATGTTTAGGGCGCCATTAGGAAATAAGTGTACCACAAGCGCAGTGTGTGTTTTTCTATTTTTCTTGCTCATTTCTTGAAATTTAGGCAGAATTACGTACTTCTGCCTGTGTTCCCAGAATGCTTAGGTGTAAATGTAGCCTAAGCAAGTCATTTTTTGTTTTGAATATATTGAGGAAAGGTAACAATTCTGCTAGGTTAATTCTGTCTATGCCTCAGCTGGGGAGATATTCCATCACTTTCTGTCTCTGTGACTCCATTAATAGAAATAGGAGGTTACAGTTGTCACAGGAACAGAAAGGTATAGACAGCAACAAAAACGTCTAACCCTTTCCCATTTACTAAAAAAGTTTGCCAGCCATCCCACAAGGCATTCCTTAAAGTGTTACTAAACCAACAACAGTAAAATCAGTCTGTATCAGAGCTGTCTTAATGCATGGGCACCCCTGGGCAATGCCCAAGGGCCCCAGGTGCATGGGGGGCCCCACGATAATCTTGCATTACATCATACTTATCAACAGTCCTGGATTTGCTGGGACAATCACACTTTTTCTAAGCTGTCCTGGGATGGCCCGGGCAGCATCCCAGAACCTGTACTGTGCCCTCCTGATTCCACTATTGTGTCCCACTGAATCCTCCCCTGTATTGTGTCCGTTGTGATTATTAGTCTTTGATTTTTGGAATTCTTTTTTATTGTTTAAAATCAATTTTATTGCATATACTAAAAAATATATGTTTCATTCTATCAACTATTCATACTTTAATTCTTGAGAGTAGGTGAGTAAATTGGGGCAGACTGGTAGGGGCCCCAGTGAATGACTTTGACCAGGGGCCCATGATGCTATTAAGATGGCCCTGGTCTGTATATGCTGTAAAGCATGCTTGTTATACTCACTGTGGAACTTTAGGGGTTAATCATCCTCATTGTGTAAAAAGGATGTTTGATCCTGTCTTCTCGGATCCTTCCCTTCTTCTACTTTCCCCAATCCATCTGCTGTTAGTATAGAGCCCTGGGGGCAAGCTGCACATGTTCAGTTTGGTGTGTATTGCTAGAGAGGTTTTCTTTGGAAGGGTGCATGTCATCAGCACAGAGCCAATCAACACTGTCCAGACAGAGGGTCAGGGGTAATGCAGCCTCACAGGACAGTCAGAGGAGAATGAAAGCTCCTCCTACAAGCTTTAACTAGTGCTCGGTGGGACACTGATAGAAGTCACAAGACTGCTATATAATGCTGATGAGAAAAGGTATTTAACAGTTTATACAATAGTTACTAAAATAATTGTATTTCCATGTTCTGTGTACTGTGGGAGACCAGATATAGTGAATGCAGGGTCCTGGGTATAGTAACACTTTAATTTCATCTTGTCAGATAGACAAGGAGGTGGGTAGGAGGACATTCAGAACTCTTTGAGGTACAGGCTACAATTAGATATTGAGCATCCCAGATTCAGGGGGTCCCTGGGGCTCTGAAAGATAAACTGAGGTACATGCAGTCATCCCTAGATGTCTGCTTTAGGTTCACCAATCATTTAGACATCTGTCCAGGTTTGCTTTAAGTCTTTTTTTGGCTTGCTTTTACCTTTAACTTTTCCCGTCCTTTAGCAGATATCTAATTCTCTGTTAAAGAACATCTATTTTTCTTGTACAAATTAATTGCTGTGTAACCTTTCTTTCTTTACACAAGCCGAGAGCTTTATTAAATAATTTATTCCAGTCTGTTTGAAGCTTTCCAAGGAATATGATTATAAGTATGAATATCGGCTGTGCAGATTTAATGAACATATTGGGGACAGGTAAGATGTTCAGAGAGGATAAGAAAAAAACACCGTGGGGATGTTTGGTAAAATGCAGCCTCAGCTTAACAGCTTGTCACGTTCTTTATGTGCTAATAAGGCAGGAGGCTTCCGGTCCCTGAAAGGTTATTAACGACACGTATTTTCTGAGGTGACAGGAAAACGTGTTAACTGGACATATGACAAAAGCCTAAAAGGTCAGATGTTACTTGGTTACTCTACCGTAAAACCGTACAATGTAATTTTTTTTTTATATCAGAGAAAGCGAAAATGAATGTATGTAATATACTGTATAGGTCTAGATCTGTATGATCAGTGCAGGAAGAGGATCGGCGGTGTGTAGTTTGAGGTCAGGCACTATGCAGAGCAGAGGATCCTGACTTTGGACATTGTGAGTATGCACTTTCTTTGGTTTAGGGTTTAGGTTAAGGGTAAGGATAAATCTGATGTTTAATCTGCTTATATGTTGCCATCCCTGGTTTCCCCTTTCCTACCTCATCAAAATGCTAATTACTTTTTCATATAAAGCTTTCTGATTTCATTGCATATGTTATTTTTGACCAGTGACATCATCACTGGGTCTCTGTGCTTCTTTATGCAATGTACACATATCATGGCCGATGGGAAGGGGCCAGCAGTGTGCTGCACAGTTTCTTTGTAAACAGTACAGCACCCTGCCATAGTACTTCTCTCAAGACCCTCAATCCTGATTCAAGCAGTGCATTGGCTCTTAGGAGGACTTATGCAAAAATCCAAATGGCTTCATGGGTGGGTCCCTGTCTCGAGGACTGTATGTTCCTAGGCAGGTTGTATTTACATGAAGACCACCCTTATGTGATGACGAGCCTCCTTCATTGAAAGAAATTAAGTTGAATTGTAGGATTCCTCTGCAGTGTTATGTATAGTTATGTATTAGCCCTTTCCAGTCTCTTGGAGGTTGGCTAGGAAACCCCGGACAGAGGAAGTGGACAGAGAGATAGAAAGTCTCAGCCACAGGTCCGGTCCATGCTGCTAAATCCAGACCAGAAGAAACTATTATGCAAGTATTCCTATGCTTCAATAGTTTGACTGCAGCTGGCCATAGCTTCTCAAGTGTGTTTCTAAATTCTTGAGACAGACAGAGTATCTCTGTCCTATTGTTATTACTTCACATGCACAGTGCCAGATAGTCAGGTCTGTGCTACTATATGTGTGTAGTGGTCTACTTCCAGTATATTAGCCTCAGTAGTAGTTGTAGTTTTATTAAGGGTTATTGAACTTGGATGGGGTTGAGGGATGCATGGAATGTCCAAGAAACTGCGAGCATGAGGATAAATCTCCTTAGTAATAATGAAGAATTCCATAGACAAACAGTCCGTCCTTGAAGTGCTCTCCAGCCCTTCTGGTGTACCTCCTCAGACCTTAGATATATCCTCCTCTTCACCAAGCTGCCTGGGGACATCCCTGAGCAAGGGGACCCAGAAACCGCTGCTGTAATAAAACAGCCCCAGATAAGGAGCTAGTTGGATTCTCCACCTGACTGCCCTCTCCCCTTATTTGACTTAGGGGGTGCAGGATTACTCACTCAGTCCTCTCCTGTAAGCTTGTTAGGCTGGTGGCTGCCTTCAGTTCAGGCCTTAAGCTGGGCTGGCTCTCTCCCTGATTCCCAGGTTGTTCTCTCTCAGGGGATGGTTGAGGCTGAGAGATCCTCCTTCCCAACTCCCAGCACCCCGCCCCCCCTGGACAACCTCCTGTGCTCCACACTCCAGCCTTCTTATATCATCTTCCACCTAACACTGGCCACTTCTGTCTGATTAGGCTCAATTATATGTGAGGGCTGTCCTGACCCCATGCCAAGCCTTCTGCTTGGGGATAGGTCAATATCCCCCCACTGGAAAAAGGAGGGGGGTAGCCACCTAACATGACACGTAAATATGTGTCATATAGATATCTCCGTCTCACTGATAATTAGTGTGGATTTATAAACCCAAAAGCTTTACATAAAACATAGCAGCATGACAAGTGCAACACTGCTCACAAAGAGTGGTTATTAGAAAATCCAAGCGGAGTAATGTAATTTAAATGTTTAACAAACAAGTTTTATTTGATCACATGGATCGTATTGAGGTTAGACAGAGACTGGGTAAACAAATCTTTATAAAATCACTGAATTAAAAACATTCGGCATCTCCAGAAATAATATCCGGCAATCAGGAATCCACATAAGGCAATAAGGTTCCTAACTACTAGATCAAAGGATTTCCATATTTTCCATATAATGTCTGCATAGGGGGAGCATTCTTCAAAAACTGTTTTGGTGACCACCACCTTGAATAGCAGGCTGAGTTCAGAGAGCAGTCAAAATCTGATCTGAAGTCATCAACAAAGGAATACAAACTATCTGGCAGGACAGGGCTAAGATGAAGGTCAAGGCATAGTAAAAAAAGCAGTGAAACAGGGAGCTTGAAGCATGTGTTACAAACACTATCACAAGCATGAGATTGAGCGCTTGGCAAGCCTAAAAGAGGTTTGAACACCACCCAGTGGCTGTGGCTAGTGATCGCCTTGCAGGTGGACAGACATTCACCTCTGGTTCACATATCTGCGTTCCTGCGGTCCATGTTTTGAGCTGGCACGAGAGCCCATTCATTTGAATATACTCCTGTGCCCGGGGACACACAGGGAAGAAGTTCCTGCACTTCTTCTGAAAACGCAGCCTGCATGGGAACCTTGGTTCCCAGTACCGTTGCGATTTCCAGTGCGGGCAACATGCCATTAGAATTAATGGCACCCGCCCGCGGGTCCGCATTCTTCTGTGCGGGTGGTGGTGGTGCTGCTGCACGGATTTTTGTGTGGATCCGCAACGGCATCACCCACACATATGTGAACCTAGCCTCAGGGAGAGTGCAACTCAGCCAAAACCAGGATGCTGGAATGAGACCAGCTGCTGCCCTGGAACAGGAGTGTTACATGCTCCTGACAATAGGTGAACCTGTTTATCGCAGTTTAGTATATGTATTGTAGCTCATGTTATTTTAGGCAAAGAGCTGGGATTCTATAGCTAGTTTTTACGCTAGGGTTCAATAACCAGCATAGGATAGAACCAAGTTAGGTATCAGACTTCTGGTAGTTAGAGATTCATTGCATGTCAGATTAGAACACACTAGGAAGGTGCTAAACCACATAGTAAATAGGGTGACTTTATTGCCACACCACAGGTTCTGTGTGTGAGAAGATTTATTCCAGGTTGGTTGTACAACAGTTGGAGGATCTCCTCATTGCTACTGATCTGGTCTTCAGGTCTCCAACACAATGACAAATGCTGCATCATGATCATCCACAGAGGCCGCAGCAATTGGAATTTGCTGCAACATTCACCAGGAGTATCATTATTAAAAACTATATACCTGAGTATAAAGTATGCGCACAGTTCCACAAGGACTGCTGTTGGGCCCTTTGCTGATAATACCTGTTTGTACATTGGATGTATGTACTATTATTAATCTTTTTCTTATACTGTATAAAGCTTGTAGTATTCCCATACTGGTGTGCATCTATAAAACTATGGTTAAAGCAGAACTCCACCCAAAAGGGGAAGTTCTGCTTATAGGCCTTGGCCCCCACTCCCCATTAAGGATTAACACCTTTGGGGAGCGGGTACTCGATTTTGCAGACAGGTACCCATTCCCACATCCACTGCGATCGCCTAGGTTATTGGAAGCAGAAGTTGTCCTCCCCCTCCTCCCTTCCGCAGTGCTGTGGGACATGTGACAGGTCCCAGAGGACTGCTCTGCTCGTGCATGCTCAGTGGGCACCCGGCTTCAAGCTGTCACAGCCAGGTGCCCACACTTAAGATGCCGGCTCTGGGGACATAGGATGGCCAGTGAACCCAGCTGCAGTGAGGACATCGCTGGATCCTAGGACAGGTGAGTGGCTGTTTTTTTAAAAGTCAGCAGATACAGTTTTTGTAGCTGCTGACTTTTATTTTCTTCACCAGAGGCTGGTGCTTTGCTTTAATGTTTTATGCTAGTTGCAGTAGTTCTATTGCTTGGAATTTCTTTTATTAGATTACCGATTCATTTCCAATGAAGGGAATCCTCTCTATGTACAGAGGACCTGTCCTGGGTGGAGGCACTGCCAACTTTATTATCAATCCCACTCTTCCACTTAGCAAAGGTTCTGGTTGGCTTATTTACCTAATGGCTTAGGACAATATCCCGTTTGGGGAGGGCCATTTCACATACAACTATCCAAAAGAGGGCTGCACAGTGAATAAAAGGGTGAGGCCAGGGATGTCCTCCATGATGAATATGAGTCAAGCACCTTTCTGACTTGCTGTGTCTTTTAATGCACACAGTGTACAGTGAAGTCAGAGCAAGCAATTTCAGTACAGAAGAGGATCCTGCACAACTGCAAGCCTGAAGGTGAGGCTGAAGGTGAGGCTGGAGTTCAGATTTAACTTTTAGGGGTTAATAAAACCATCATGCAGGGTAGCAAAACATCATAAAAGAAGTAGTTGGCACGAGAAGAGCATAGCCAGCACACCCCAGGTATATTTAGGGTGGTC